ATTCCATCAGAAAGGTTATCGTTGCTACTCTCCTTCTACAAAATGGTTCTTCACATCTATGGATGTCACTTTTCAAGAGCATAAACCATTCTTCTCAAAAACCGAAATCCAGGGAGAGAGTGAGTCTGAATTTCAATTTTTATCGATTATTACCGAGTTACCCATCAGTCTATCTTCTACTAAAAAAACTATCACTCCATAACCTCTTAACACCACTACATCTGATAATGAAAACCAATCCATTAATCTCATCGACTCTCATAAAATACCCAGGCCATCTGTAACACCTCCAACCCGTATCCGACCCGAATACAAGTCTGAGATGTCACATCAACCTATTAAATCATTTAATTATATAAAATAAAGGAAAATTCAGATATAATTTAAACATATATAATTTACATATATCAACTAAAAAGGTTTACAAATACCGTTCAGAGCTTATACAATTTCATCTTTTAAGTACATGCCAACATTATATATACATATTACAACAAAGAGACATACTGATAAAATTTCTTCTGATATGATCTTCAGTGATGTTATGTTGTCTCTGTTACCTATATTCTCTTTGATACTTCTCGGATCCTACGTGTGAAACACTGACACACTAAGTCATAGATTTAGTGAGACATATAAATGACTAATAAAAACTTTCACTACCTAACAATGCTTGTACATTAAATACAATAATATCACACCAAATCATATACCAATTCTTTCTTACTCATGTACAATCATTTTCATTATTATCAATCTTATCACTAGTCCTTATAATTATATATTCTTATACATAACATTCGTAATCATCATATTATACATTAACCAAGCAATACACACAAATTCTATAATTTATTTCACATAACATGTCACATATATATATCACATACAGTGTATTTGTTTATTTCTTTATTAGCCCATATATACTTCTGAGAACTAAAGATATGTGAGTACATAGAGGTTGTGCACATATACTGTCACCACAGCTCGTATAAATTCCCACTAGAGGTACATAGAATTTGTTCTAAAGGACCACATAAATGTCCCAAAGGACCACATAGATGTCCCGAAGGACCACTCCTTAAGGATCACATATATATTCCAAATGACTAAATATGTGTCCCGAAGAACCGCATACATGTTCCAAAGAATTACATATATATCCCTAAGGACCACATAAAACCCTCGACTCTTGGCATGCCAACTATACCCCTAGCTATCATATCACATAACATGGGCATTAGCATTTATGTTTTTCACATATACACAGTCATATCACATAGTCATATAAGCTCCTAGCTTCATATCACATATATCATGTAATATTCTTATATTCATATAGACATATAATCACATATATCACTTTCACATATCTCTTGTCATATATTTTATCTCTTATGATCACATAACTTATTGTCACACATAATTTATCACACATACATGCGTTCATATAGATCACATATAAAGATGCACTTAACATTTAGACATATACACATACTCATGTACACATAAGCATTATATCACCACATGCTTGTATTCAGGTACTCATGTAATCTAATATTGGAATTAGACTCATCGCAAGTCTTAATTCTCTATCATAACCTATACTTAATATTATGTACTCACCTTGGTCTCACTAGTCGATACAAATCTCTTATCGCTCTCTCGGTAAATCTTACTTTGTCGACTTGTCGGGACTTTACTTTAGATCGATATCTACACGAATACACAATCCAATAAATATTGGAATTTGAACTATTCGAAAAGATTCTTACTAATATAAACTAAACAAATCACTAATTTCCTATTTCCAATTTAAATAGTATCAGTACTACAGTTATAGTGCCGATACCTTCATTCTTGTAGTATTGATACCCTTCCACATCATCGATATCCATTTTGAATACTATAATTTCATTGCAAGAATGGTACCGATACCTCCCTATTGGTATCGATACACCTGATATCGATACTATCACTTCAATACCAATACCTCATGAAGATCTATCACTCTTCTTCCTTATGGTATCGATACTGTTCATGCAATATCGATACCCTACGCATAATTATCCCAAAATTTGCCTTGTAGTATCGATACTCAATCAACCAATATTGATACTACTAACTCATAATATATTTCTTAAACCCGAAAATTCTAACACTTTACCCCAAACTCTACTTATTTAACTCTCTTCATGCTTTTAAACTTAGCTATACATACTTAAACCATCTTTTAGCACTATAACACATCACCATCTTCAATATCTCACTATAATTCTTGAATTTAAGAATTTTACTAAACTTTCAATGTGTTCTAAATTTATTTCTAACACCTGATACTTCTTATCTCAACTTATGACAAGTCAAATATATCTTCAAAATTCCTTAACTCATTCTTTTCCATAAATTCACTTAAAAAACCCCATTTACAAAGTCATTCATAACTTATCCATCTTTTAGTTTTAGACCATCTTAAGCTTTCCTTAAGCTTATATAACACCCAAAGAAAAAAAACCAACTTAGAAATTCAAGAAATAAACCATTATAATTCAACTCACCTTTGAGCTGGAACTAACGGGAAGAAGAAGACCAGAGAAAATAAGTTTCCAGATAACTCTCTAAACCCCACATGATTATCTATTAATAAGGAGATAAATATCCTTTAAGTGAAAAGACCACCTTACCCTTCATTCTTTCTATCTTCACTATTTAATCCAATAACCATATATTTCACTTTAAATCCATGAACTTATCAATTTTCCTAAATTGATCACCAAATTTCAAAAACTTTTATTTTAGTCACTAACCCAGTTTTTGGGATGTTACATCTACTGATATTCTCACCTACACAAGATGACCCAAACAAGCCCTACCTTCCACACCGTAGCCAATGCATTGTCAAGAACCAGAATCAGGTTTAAATCCATCAACAGACAAAGGAGATGATGGCCAAAGTAAGTTGGATGTGGTAATTGATACTAGTGAGTTACCAATTACTCAAAGAAAGGGAGTTAGATGATGTATAAATCACCCGATTAGTAAATTTGGTCCTTATGGGAAACTAATGTCTGGTTTTAAGACTTTCACAACTCAGGTTGATCATATTCACATTCCAGAAACCATAGAGGATGCATTAAAAAGTCCTGAGTGGAAGAAGGCAGTTGAAGAAGAAATTTCAGCTCTAGAAAACAACAAAACCTGGGTCATCGTTGATCTACCTAAAGACAAGAAACAATTTGGTTGCAAATGGGTCTTTGCTGTGAAATTCAAGGCAAATGGAAAAATTGAGAGATATAAGGCTAGACTTGTGGTAAAAGGGTTCAATCAGACTTATGGAGTTGACTATCAGGAGACATTTGCTCCAATTGCAAAACTCAATGTTGTTCGAGTTCTATTATCCTTAGCAGTAAATAAGGATTGGATACTTCACCAACTAGACGTGAAAAATGCATTTCTCAATGGCAATCTTGAAGAAGAAGTCTATATGCAAGTTCCACCAGGAATTCATTTTGGAAATAACTGGGTATGTAAACTATGAAATCCTTATATGGTCTAAAACAATCACTTAGAGCTTGGTTTGATAGATTCACAAAGGTAATATTACAAGACAACTACAAACAGTGTCAATCCGATCACACTTTGTTTGTAAAAACAACTCTAGATAAGAAGAAGTCAATCTTGATTGTCTACGTTGATGATATCATCATCACTGGTGATGACTTAGTAGAAATCGAAAAGTTGAAGACTTTACTAGCAAAGGAGTTTGAAACCAAAGACTTGGGAACTCTAAGATATTTTCGAGGCATAAAGGTAGCAAGATCACTAGAATGAATTGTCATAAATCAAAGAAAGTATATTCTAGACTTATTTTCTGAAACTGAAATGACTAATTGTAAGCCCTCGGAAACTCCTATGGAAGTTAACTTAAAATTGAGTAAAGATGGAAACCCGGTAAACAAGGAACATTATCAGAGGTTAGTGGGTAAACTCATTTATCTATCTCTAACTAGACCTGACATTGCTTTTCATGTTAGCATTGTTAGTTAATACATGAATGATCCAAGAGAAGAACATTTGGAGGCAGTCAATCAAATCTTAAAATATCTAAAGGTGACACCAGGACATGAGTTGATTTTCAGAAAACATGAAGACAAAACAGTTAAAATCTTCTCAGATTCAAGTTGGGCTGGAGAATTAACAGAAAGAAGGTCAACCTCAGGATATTGTTCATTTATTTGGGGAAACCTAGTAACATGGAGGAGCAAGAAACAATCGGTAGTTTCCAGGAGCAGTGCAGAAGCAAAATATAGGGTGATAACATGCGGAATGCATGAAGGAACTTGACTTAAAAGACTTTTAACCGAACTAGATATGTGCGACAACAACTATTTTGAACTTCAAAGTGACAGCAAATCTGCGATAAGCATATAGACACTTTATTGCAGAAAAAGTAAATGGGGGAACTGTGAAATTAAACTATATCTCTTCACAAAACCAACTAGCAGATGTATTGACCAAGGCACTTCCAAGGATTACCTTTGACAAAATTACATCCAAGCTGATCTTCACAATATTTACTCCCTAGCTTGAGGGGAGTGTAAGTAGTGTTTAAGTTAAACTCTTAATCCTAATTTATCTCTAAAGCTATCTCCTAATTTGTAGAAAATATGACTCCTATTTTATATAGGTCTCTAATTCATGTATATAAATAACCCATGTCCTCTCTTGTGTAAGATGTAATTTTTCCTTTGAATAAAAGTATTTCAATTCCTCCGCTACCGGAAAAATATGGTTATTTACAATTTCAACAGGCAACGATTTGTTCATGCACTTTCACATGTCTACCTCTTCTCGTAGTTAACGGTTCAAATTGCTTGCCATTTGCTCTCTGTTTTTTATTCGTTTCTTTCCATCTCTTGGTAAGCTTCATTTGCTGGAAAAGGTCAGAAGTTAACCCCTAAAGAATTTTAACAAAAAAACTTGAACAGTGACATCTCAGCTGAACATTAATTCATTTTTGACAATCGATCCAAGCTAGGCTCAATCGTCATTTTTTCTGTTAACCCGTCACTTTTATTCTTTGACTTTTATGACAATGTAAAGGAACCCTTTATCCAACTTATTACAGGACCAAGTAATCTCAACCGAAATTAAACAATAGACACATTCCAAACCCTGAAAACATGTCTGCCAACGGCTTAATCCTCAACAACCTCTGAGAAACATCTCAGTTAAAAGCGTCACACCTCCTACGAATGTTCCCGTTCCTCCCCGTCTTAACACCTACGCGTCCGAGCTTAGTAATGGCGGTGACGAAGGCATTGTTGAAAGCTTGTGAATTGGCGGCCCATGCGTTTACCAGAGGCCTAGACCTCTGGTCCGTGAATAAAACCTGGTCGGAGGTGAACAGACCCTTGCCTTGTTGCAAGTTCTTGTAGTAAACATTGTCGAATCTCCTGGGTGTGTTCGGGTCCATGTTGATGGCTATACTGGGATCCACATTCCTGGGACACATCTGTTGAAGTTGAGTCGCATACACCCGGTTGAGTGTCGGGTCCACCGGAGATTGACGGCTGAAGCTGTATATCCTGTTTGAAAACTTGCTGCAATGAGAGAATCCGACGCTGTGTGCGGCTGCAAAAATATAAACAATGACCCTTCAGTAAAACCTTAAGTTCATGCTTGTGCTCGTATGCAGACATTCATGCTCCCAATCATATAATATTAGATCCTTTGTTTAACGTCTAATTTTTGGATGATTAGTACGAACATTCTTTAATGATCAGCATTGAAAAGTTCTAACATTATATTTTTTTGTTTTCATGTAATCGTCGTATGCTAATGCCAGCTAATATAAGATGTAACTTAAATTAGATCCGTGTTTGATCTAATTCTAGACATGGCCACATGACTATAAGAATATACCCTTTTAAAGATGTTTTATATGAAAATATGTACAAAAATTAGATATACCGAGTTGAAAACATATGTCCGAGTCCCGAGTCATACGAATAGTACCTGAAAGAGCAATCATGTCTGCTTGGGAGAGCCCATTTGCTGCAAACAGAGAATTGAGCTGATTCAAGTTGAAAGTTGGTTGAGGCAACTTTCCATTGACACTAGCAGCTGTGGAGCTTAACCCATCCAATCTCCCCAATTCAACAGCATAAGACGGTCCACCTGACTGCAATTATCATCATATTATACCAATATCATAACCCATTTCTTCTTTACATTGATAGAAGTATAATAACATGGGCGGGGATACAAACCAGAGCAATCACATCCCGAGTTGCCATCGCCAATATATCAGCACATGAAACCTTGTTTCTGCAACCAGGAACCGCATCCACAGCTTGTTTAGCTTTGATCACCGTGTCAAACCCGTCTCCGGCTAATGACAGGTTATCCGGGTGATCCTTCTCGGCTTTATTGCTGCCGGTGGATTGAATGATTACCGAAGCATCACATCCCTATTAAGTAAAAAAGAGATTAGACATCAACAAATCACCCCAACATGTATGAATCTCAAAAGGGCGTTCTCGAAACAAACCTGGACAAAGCAATCATGGAAGAAGAGACGGATGGTAGCAGGGACAGTGACAAAAGTTTGTCTGAATTTCTGAGTAACGGCATTTCTAACAATGGATTCTACGTTGGGACAAGTTTTAGCATAGAAATTTCGTCTTAGTTGAGCTGATGCTGTCTCGGGGAGCAGACAGAAACTAAGAGAAAGCGACAGTACAAGTAGAACGTCGAAGAACCGAGCCATTAGGTATGAAATTCGAGTGATCGCAGAGAGATTGATTGTGAAAATTATTTAAAGAGACAGGGCCAGGCAAATGTTAATGTAAAAAAAATGCAATAAGATGAAGTTTCCAAGTGGTCTGGGAAAGCCAGTTGGATGAGAATCTTATTGAACAGCAAAGTGAGCGTGGAATGTGACAATGTGCGTTTTTAATAATACAGAGGGACAGAGACAAGTTTTCGAAAGGGACGCTGATGTGTTAATTTTTATGGTTCGTCAATGGCCGCCTGTCTCGTTTTCAAAACACTGCTGTCTTTTGTTGCAGAAATCATCATTACAGTATGAGGTGATCAACATTTTTCTTAGTTATTAACGACGCTTCGGACCCAATCTAGAAAGAAAACAAGAGTTCACTCAATAAGTTGTAGAAATTCTCGTTTCTAAACTATTCCCAAAACGTAGTCCAAGCGGGATTGAGGAACAGTGAAAGCGCTGGAGATTGGGCACAACTGCAAAACTCGTGGGAAGCACGTTGAGGCTTGTCTCTGTGTGCTTCAACGCCTAGAAATAGTAAATATTCCTTCGCAGACAACGATTCTTAAAAAGTGATATTAAAAATATGAAACATTAAAAGATTCCCATCAAAACAACTCACTGTTGATCTCTTAAGATTATTATGAAATGGTTACCTAAATAGTTACTGAGATCATGGTTAGGTTAAAACTAAAATTTAAAACAACCAGCTGATTGTTCATTGCTGTACTGCTGTTATAACGGGCTTTTTTTACTCTAACGTCACCGATTAAACAATTAATTCCCATTTTACTCAAATATCAGCTTATTGAATTTTATCAACTTCACGACTTCACAAAGAAAAAAATATTGAACCCTCTTGAGCTTAAACCTATCGAAATTTTTTTTGGGAAAATAAAATTAATATATCTAAATTTTATAGGTAAACTTTACAAACATACTTCAAATGCTTTTTTTTTTTGAAAAAGGCTATATAATTTAAAATTCTAAATGAATCTATTCAGACGATTATAATTGTTAAGATTCGTAAAGAATCTATGATAGTTTGTTATCCAAAAAGAAAATCAAATAAAGGAGCGGCCAACCATAAGATAAATTGAGGTATTTCTGTTATATTTTATCGATAATATATTTTCGTTTCTCTTAAAATTTTATAAACTTACCCATAATATAAAATTCAGCGTCCATTCTTAACTAACAACTATGATTTCTTCTTGTTTTCAAATCCATCAAAGGTACTTCCTCAGCTGCGACTTTCAATTCCATTGGTTAAAATATTCAGATTTTTTGAATGGACATGTTAGAAAAGAAAAAATATGTTCCGTCAATCGTGTTTTTAAATATACGTACGAAAAAACATACTTTTATTTTACATGACACATTCAATCAATAATAAGAACCAATCCCATAAATAATTAGAGATGTATGCCATTTTCTTAAATAATTGTGAGAAATGCGCAATCCCATAAAAACCCATGTTTATAATTATAACTATAGCTTCATCAATGGCAAGACTGCCCTTTGTTTGGTGTTACGTTCTTTTCTATTGCTGAGCCACTTTTTTTCCCCCCTCAAATTTTAGTCAACTTTAAGATTTCATAAATCATACCGATAATTTTAAAGTTATATAATTGTTAACTTTTTTATTTTATTTTATAAAAGCAATACTAATATGATAGAAATAAATTAGATTTTTAAGATTTTTTCCCCTATGGTACTTAACTCATTCAAAAACATCTACATCAAATTCATCATCTTATCAATGTGGGCCATATAAATGAAATACAACAACATTTTAAGTTAGGAATTTGGATATGAGAATTTAAAATTTAAGAATTCTAATTTCAAGATTTAGATATTTAGAAGATTTCGACTTGAAAATAGAGGTTTGGATTCTTTTATAAAGATTTTAAAATTTTGAGATTTTTAAAAAAATATATTTTTATAATTTGAATATTAACGACAAGTGACTTAATTAAATGAATTTAAATAGTTGACTAACTTGATTGATAAAATTTCAAAAATGGTGGTCAAAATGAAAAGGGAGAATTGTTAGGTGATCAGTGGTATAATTTTAAATAGTTTACCTTTAAATTTTAACTAATTTATAATTATATGTTGAGTACTTCAGAATTTTAAATTTTATAAATTAAATTAATAGTGATTATCGTTAGTGGTGATCGACCTCGCTCGTCAAGTGCACAAGAATCATCCTATATATATATATATATATATATTTGTATCGAATTCTTTTGATTTAGGATAGTTGAGTTAGGACCTACCCATCTGAAATGTAACCTTGATTTGTATATTAAAAAAGGAAAAATATATTTATTTAGGTTGTCTAAATTTTATTCTATTTTTAAATTAAATAGTTTGAAGCATTAAACATGATTAAATTTATATTCTTTTATATATTATATTGATAATCATATTAATTAAATAAAATAAGAATATTTAGAACATATACTACTTTGTAATCACCTTTAACTTATTAAAAAAATATAGTTTTTAAAATTTTTATTTATTTTCATTTTACATAAAAATTGGTCATTTGAATTTCACAAGATTAAGACAAAAAAAAATAAGTCCAGCTGCAAAGGCCCCACTAATAAATCAATCATCTTGAAATCCCTTCTTATCTATGTCTCTTTAATTAAGTTGAGGTGATTATAAAATATTATTTATTCTAAATATTTTTAATTATTTGACAATGAACGCTCAATCATTCCTATTATAGTTGCTAGTACTAAAACCAAAAATATCTAATAATAACAATCATTCTTTTAACTAATGAATTAATTTAGTTTATTCATCTAAATATCTGACTCCAACATTTGTTTATTTTGATAAAACACATAACAAACTTTTAAATTTGTTTATTTTTCCGAGCCACGTGAAATTATTGTATGTATATTGAACTTTAATCATATTTGAATATATATGAATTTTTTATTTTATGGAAAATGGACGGGTAATGCCAATGTGTAAGTCAAAATGTGATTAATAAACGTGGATGGATATCTTATATAAATTTTGTCACGTCTCTTATAGGATAAAGGGAATATAGCTGGCAATAATAGATTAGTAGTGTTGCCGAAATAAACACGCATCAATCAATTATTAAGCAAAGAAAAAATTGTTCCTCTTAGTTAAGGGTTAAAACAAGAAAATGTAGAGTAATACTCGTAAAAGCTTTTGGAATGATTAATCACTTGGAATCCAAATTTTATTATATATACCTCAGTAGTATTTGAATGTGGCTGTTTTATTCTCTGTCAACTGTTTATTTGGGAGTAATTCAATTGGTTATATACTTTTTATTTGGGTTAAACAGTATTTAACTCTAACACTACAATTTTTATTTTTTATTTAATTTAACTTCTAAAATTACCAAACATCTACCACGTTAGTCTATTGAAAATTTTCGATATATATAAAAAAAAGTCTCGTGACAGGTTATGAAATATATTTATAATTTCAATTAAAGGAAAAAAATCATAAAATAAACTATAAAAAATTAAAAATATCAAATACCCTCAACTTAAATATAAAATATTTTGAGTTTTTACATGATCTGATTTACCTCAGTGGTTAAAAGAATTGTTGTTATTCTTAGAGCTCAAGGGTTTGAGCACCAGCAGCAGCGACTGCAGCGAGTTGATTGAGCGGTCATTGTTAAATGGTTGAGAGTATTTATAACAAATACTACTTTGTAATCACCTTAGCTTAATAAAAAAATATTTTAAATTTTTTTAAAGAGTTCTAAATTTTATTTTTTTCTTAAACATATTTTCTATATTTAAAAAACTCAAAAAAATCAAGGAAAAATTATGAATTTTCTTTTTAATATTTTGAATTTAATATATATTTTATGAAATTTAAAAAATATTTTTTCAGAATACAAACTACGTTGTCTAACTGAAGTATAACCCTAACCTTTAATATGAAGACAATTATGTTTAACCACATTCATTCACAACTTAAATGATACTTGAAGGTAATTTACCCTTAAAACTAATAATATATTAATTAAAATTTTAAAAGATGACATGATTACTCAATATCATTCAAACATTGTAAAATTATTTACCCTAAAAATAATACAATACTTCAATTATTATTTTTACGATGATATAAAACCATTTTACAATGTTTGCGTCGTAAAATAATTTACCCTAAAGATGATACAAAATGCAAAGCATCATCCATGATAAGCATGACAAAATATTTTATACCACATCATCCGAATATGATAAAATTAATTTAAGTTTTTTATTTTTAAAATATAATCAATTTTATGTAAACTAATTTTCAGAATCTATTTTAAGTTAAATAAATAGACCCTAAAGACTCAAATAAAAATTATACTGTCAATTCTTAAAAAATAATCGTACTAGCAAAACAATGCAATCAGGACCTTAAAGCCCAAAATAAAAGTGAACAATTAAGTACAATTAATCATAATTTTAATTTTATAAAAATCATAATTTAATATTTTTATATTTTTTATTGATACAATAAATTTAACCTGTAACGTTTATACATTATGTCAATTTAAACTTCATTATAAAAAATAATACATAATTTATACATTTTGTAAATAATAAGAATTAAATTTATTTAATTTAATATAGTTTACAAACATTGAGAGTTAAAATTATTATTATATCAATTAAAAATTTATAAAATCAAAAAGAAAATATTAACATTATGATTAATTATTTTTAATCATTTATTTTTATGATATTGACATGGATTAAATTATTAATTTTTAAAAGATCGATCTGTTAAAATTTTTTAATCGATATTGACATAAGAGATCTTTTTAGCTTAGTATAGATGGCATAAAATAACACGGAGCCAATTGAGTAAAAGGTTAATCCAGGCTGATGACCTGGTGGATGATCATCCCTTGCTTCTGCACGAGTGTTTGGGCCAACTTCTGTCAATTTCCGGCTCTGAATAAAAATCGGAAGCTGGACCGTAGTTGGTATATTTTGGAACAAAATCCAAAAGCCTACTTACATAAATTTAAAGCATTTTTCAATAATATTATTTTTTACTTATGCCCTTTCTAAACACCTAAGAATTTATTTTACAATTTAAAAGTTGTTTAACATTTTTTATTAAGCTAAAATATTATAAAGTAATATATATTTCAAACAATCTCAATCATTCGATAATCATCTTTTAATCATCATGCTGCAATCGTTGATGTTCGAACCTATAATATTTAAGAAAAATAATACTTTTTTAATCACTTAAATAATTTAATTCTTGTATATGTATAATATATACGGGGTTCTTTAAGATTTTTTATGTGAAAACCATTGATTGTATATGTATAATATTTGCCTTAAAAACAGGTTCTGCAATCTGATCCGAAGTCCTTAAAAAAGCAAAGCAAAATGTTAAAATGCACACACAAATAGACACGACCATATGACTTGGTAAGAGCCAAACAAGACAGGAAGCAGCGGATGGAGACAAAATTATCAAAAATCCCAATATCTCCCCATTCTTGACAACAAAAAATTATAAAATTACAAGTTAACAAAATGAAAGGATTGTTTTTCAACATTTAATTTTTTTAAAAGGTTTTTTTAACATTTAAAAACTATATGTGGACGGGATTAATTAATAAATGTATCCATGGGCGAAGAAGTATTGTTGAAATGCTTATAAATATATCTATTTAATATTAATAACAAAAATATATTTAAAATTACAAAAATAATTTGTTTGTATTTAAAGAGCATATGGAGTAAATTGAATTTTTTTTTCCTTCGAATGATTTCTATCTAAGAGGAGGAGGAGGAGAGTTTTTAATCCTGATAATTACATAAGAAAGAAAGCAGTGGAAAAGACCAAACAGAGAGAGAAAGTAAAACGAAAACCAAAAAATACAAACACAGCTAGCCATTCGACTTCCTTCTTCCAAACAGATCAAGCAATGAAAGGGTCGAACAAGGAAATAGAGCCTCTTCTCCACCAAATTCACGGGCCACGAAACACCTATGGAGGGTCGATCCATCTCCTATCCACAGCTGATTTTTGTTCCACCTTGAAAGGGGCTTCCTCCACCCAGTACCTATCTTCCTCTCCCAGATCCGAAGTCGTAGCCAACAGATGAGCTACCTCGTTAGCTTGACGAGGGACAAGACGATAGCACATGCATGGAAGTTTCGAGCCTTCTGCCGGACATCCCAAATCAAGGTAATAATTTCGAAGTAGTCAGGACCCGAAGAGGAAAGCCTCTCAATCATTGTGCACGCATCCTCTTCCAGAACAATATCGAAGAAACCCATATCTAGAGCAAACTGAACAACATCTTCGGCTGCCACAGCTTTAGCCAAAAACGCAGAGGTAACCCTCATTCTCTTCTTTCTACAAGCTCCCAGAATAAAACCTTCCGATCTCGTATTACAATTCTTGACCAAGCTCTGTTTTGTGAATGCGAGAAACTGGCGTCAAAGTTTACCTTGACCGTGGGGGAGACAGGCGGCTGCCATCGGACTAGATTTGGCCGATCAGGACCTTGAATTCGTCCGTTGGCAGAACAAAAAACTCTAGTAATGGGCTCGTACACAGGTAACAAAATCACTTGCTCTGGCATGTTTACCTTCATGATAAAGCTGGTTCCTGGCAAACCAGAGTCTCCAAATAATTACTAGTATTTCTACATGACTTGTTGAGGGATAATTTGAAAACAACTAGTTAAGCCACTCTAAAAAAATCAAAATCCACCATCGATAGAGGCCACATGTAATTCATTGCTCTCCACACCTCCTGCACTAAGATATAGTCACGAACTATATGGATACCATAATTTCATTCGAGCACCAAGAACAATAAGGGGGAATGAGCAACACGTTTAGTGTGAAGGTTTTGCATCGAGGGAATAAAATTATGGATGAACTTCCAAGCCTATAATTTGATTTTTCGTTGACAAGCACAAGCCCAAAGCCTCTTAAGCACAACACTTAACAAAGGAGAAATAGAAATTTCACCCAAAAGTAAACGATACCCACTACGAACAGTGTAAAAACCCGTTTTCTCTCCACTTCACACACGACAGTCCGCTTGACTAATATTTGACAGGGGAATACCAAGAATCAAATTGCCTCGTCTTCGGTAAAACCTCTGTACCAACGCAGTTTTCCAACTATTAGTTTTCCAACTATTAGTTTTTTTATCAATTAAATAATTCACACTATCAATTGAGTGAACCTGCTCTGCCTCCATCAGACTAGGGATTGAGGTCGGTAACCAGAAGTCATTCCAAGTTGAGATGGACTCGCCTGTACCAACTTTCCATCGCAACCCATTCTTAAGTAGCCCCCTCACGCTCCACACATACCTCCAAACATACGATGGTGACGAGCCATGTCTCGAGTTCAGGAAATCACTCGAGGGGAAGTACTTTGCTTTAAACAACCTCCCTACCAAAGAGGAAGGATTAGTAAACAATCTCCACCCCTGCTTTGCAAGTAGGGAAAATATTAAACTTTGAAAGACCACGAAACCCTAAGCCCCTATTTTCGTTTAGCTGACACAATGCATCCTACGTACACAAGTGAATCCCCTTCCTTGTAGATGATTTCTGCCACCAAAATCTTGCCATAATACCATTCAACTCATCTTCGGAAACAAGAAGCAATTCATAGCATATAAAGGAATTGATTGAAGTACAGGTTTAATGAAAACTTCCTTACCACCTTGGGACAACACCTGAATACTTCAACTATAGATGCGAATGCGAAACTTATACAAAAAATGAGCAAAAGCGCCTCGCTTATTGTTTCTCACTAAAGTTGGGAGGGCCAAGTATTTCTAAGTTATCTTTACATCTTGAATCTAACAAAATAACATAGAATCCTTAGATTCTATTAAACCTATCAAAAATCCATTTTGGAAACTATGGCTAAAAACTTACAAAATGGAGCTTAAATTAAAGCTTGAAGGATGGTGATTCACATTCTTACCTTGTCTTAAACAAACTAGACTTGAAATGCTTGGAATCTCTACTTGTGAAAGGAAGAGGAAGAGAAGAAAATGGAAGAAGAAAGAAGAGTGTTTGGTGAGATGTTTGGGGGGTTAGGTTCACGTAAATCATATAATACGAGATGGGGTTTTCAGTTTTCAAATAAAAATGGGTAAATTCACTTTTAATCCCTTCGACTCCAAAATCAATTTAAAATCACCATTAACCTTTGGGTCCAACTCAAGCTCACTCCTTAATTATCTAAATCCAACCATTCTATTGGGTCCTTGGGTTCGGTTTATGGGTCTTGGATTGACTCGAATTATTACCATAGTTTAGGGGCGTTACAATAGTGGTCAGGTGTTGCACTCTTTTCCTGAATGTCCCAGTTTTGATCAACTTAAAAGCCATACATTTTATTAATTTATCAAAAAAGAACATATAAATCAACAATCAGTTGATCTAACGGGATGATGTACTAGAGGGTCCCCTTGCCTATGTAGTATGTAGTACCTGATATGAATTAGTCGATTAACAAATTGCATGCTGGTGGTTATACAAAAAAAAATAAACATGTGGAGATGTCGTATCATCTATCATTAACAAATAATTAACTGATGAAAATGATTGCAATACAAATTCCTAAAGAAGATGGATACAACTAAAAATGTAATATATACGATACAACTAAAAATGTAATATCTACTATATTGTTGATTTTATAAAAAGTTTTTAATTAATTAATTTAGTTATGTAGCTGTGATAAAATATTTATCACTAATAAAGATAATATTAATGTCTAAATTTTCGTCATTGTTATTAATCTTTTTGTGTCAAAAAATGTAATTACAAAAAAAAATTGTGACAAAATTCATTAAAATAATCACTAATATAGTAGCGACTAAATTATTGATAATAGTGTCAAACATTTAGTCACTAAAAAAACACTTAGTGTGACAACATTGGTGGTAACAAAATATACTTTCAGTGTCAAACAAATTTATCACAATTTATTGATAATAGTATCGAACATTTGGTCACTAAAATTACTTAGTGTGACAATATTAATGGTCACAAAATATATTTTTAGTGTCAAACAAATTCATCACAATTTATATTGATAATTGTGTCGAATAGATGATCACAAAAAAACTGAAAAATTATGACAATGTTTAGAATAATTGTCATCGATATAATAGTGATGTAATTATTAGTGATAACAAGTGAAGATTTAAAAAATTTGTCAATATGCATTTTAGTGTATAAATTTAATGCTTTTAACTACCATTTACATTGTGACTAAATATGTATTTCCTTGTAATGTTTATTTATATTCTTTATAATCATTAATAGTTTTAACATATTAATAATTTAATTAACTATCCTTTAACTTCAGAACTATGATGAGAATTTTTTTTTGGACAGCTTAGAAATGCATGGAGTCATGCTCCCGACAACATGCCCCATGTGGAAGCTACTGTTAATTGATTTTTATTTCTACTTTAAGTGAGGCATGGCGTGTGTTCCACTGACAGACTTTGCATGATGTTCTTTTTTTTTCTTTTTAATCCAAATGAACCCAGAAATATTGTATGAAAACCAATAAAAAATTGATTAGATTCTCAAATTCCACCATCAATTATAATTATCTTTGCTAATATTTTAATGACTACATATTACATTATTAATATTTTCCTAATCTAATTTATACTTAACTCGTGATTATGAAAAGCAAACAACCCAATAATTCATATTTTTTAAACTTAAATGATGGTGACTTTTGAGCTTCTAAATAACTGCTGATCAAATAAATTTTTATTGATTATTATTGTTTTGTTAAACAATAAAAAGAGGGGTCATGACATAGTCACGTCTCTTATGAAATATTAAACTATTTTTTTTTGGAATTTCATGATCCAATGTGTTATTATTATGCAAGAATAAGTTAGATTCTTTAAAAATTATATAATGCATGATTAGGTAGCTCTCATAGCTCCCCGGTAAACCAGTTTTAATTAAGGTGTTGATTTTCTTATTATTCTTTACTCCAACTTTTAATGTGCTCGAAGATCCGGGGCATACATGCTCAATTTCAGCAACCCCAATAGACCCACCGCCCAATACGGTTGCACCTCCCTTCGCCGGCAACTCCTGCTTCCATCTTTACTCTCTCCAATTCTTTTAATATGCCCAACTTTCTTGTCTTGCGTAATTCATTATCATATTCTGTAAGTTTGAGCCCTACATGCATGTGATGATGTTATCATCTGTCTATTTTTTTTATTTTATTAAATATTAAATATATTTCTGTTATGATTTTTTTTTAAATGGATTAATCATAAAGGCGTTTTCTGGGTTACATTTCAAGATTTGTTTCTTTCATTACTATATGTTTTTCTTATTAAAATATTATTGAGAAGCAAATCCATTTATCTTAATCTATATATGGTCCTGGATGGATTCTGTTCCAGTCTGTATCATGTACAGGGCTACAACATAACAGCTACAAATAATGAGATATATCTTAATTTAGCATTATTTTTCAGAAATCTGAAATTGAGATCTATATCCATCATGCCATCAAAATATAAAGATTTCACAGAAACATTTAATGTGTACCACTCGCTCTTTTCAATTGGGTGTTTTGAGAATATTGGATCTGGACCGTCCGATTTTATTGATTTCCCTCACATGCCTAGTTAACGGCAATCATCATGGCGTGGACAACTCCAATCAGCACCACTTTTTATTTATTTGTACGGAAAACAAATTTCCATAATATTTCTGATAATAAAATAAACATAAATCCAGAGATTTGCCTTTGCATCTGTTTCTCAATAAGGGAGATGATATCCGATCTAGAAACGAAGGATTATTGAAAGAGAAAATAACTTCAGTTATGAAAATGTCTTATAATATATGATTTTAACCAATTTTTTTGGATTTGTGAAATGACCAACAAATTCGTAACGCGAACTCCAATTTCAACCCAGTTTCCAAATTCGCAACGCGAATATGTAAATCGCAACACAGAAGTCAAATTCGCAACACTGAAGTCAAATTCGCAACACAAAAGTTAAATTCGCAACGCGAATATGTAAATCGCAACACAGAAGTCAAATTCGTAACACAGAAGTCAAATTCGCAACACTAAATTTCAAATTCACAACTGAATTTCAAATTCGCAACTGAATTTCAAATTCGTAACTGAATTTCAAATTCGCAACTGAATTTCAAATTCACGACTCGATTTTCGAATTGCAACACGAATTTAATTTCGCAACACGTTTTAGTTTCGCAACACAAATGTTTTGGGTATATAACTACGCAGCAGTAACAACTCATAACCTAAATCCCTAAATCGCAACTCATTCCATCTCCATCTATCACTCTCTCCAGCGACATCCGTTCCTATATCTAACGACATCCTTCCCCATCTCTAATTTTTTTTACATAATTTTATTTCTATATAATTTTTAATGATTTCTCTCCCAAATTATCAACTATCAACTTAATAAAGGTATGTTTTTCTCTAAGTTAGTGATGATATGTAGTTTATAGCTCGTTTGTTTAGTAAATTAATTTACAATTTGTAGAATGAAATCATCTAATGTTGATCATGTTTGAATAAATTTGTGTTTTGGAAGGTCATAGGAGAATGTTCATGGTGTTTTACAATATGTGCCTTTACCCATGAATCTTCAACTAAAACTGTCATTAAAAAGTTAACTTATGAAACTCTAATGTTACGTGTTGCAAAGAAATTGAATTTAGAGCCTCTAAGTGGATTTAGGCTATCTTATCATAGAAAAGATAAAGTTTATTTGTTAACCGACAATGAAGATGTTGAACGATTCATTGCTTACATTAGTGTTTCGCAAAAAGATGATGTTACATTGTATGTTGTTGAACCTAGAAGTAGTGAAGTTGGGTCAGTAGCGGGTAGTAATCAACTAAGTTCTTCAACCCCTGTTTAAGGTGCTCACAATGTACAACGTTGTTATCAATCTCAAAATTTAATTGTTCCACCACAATTTCATCACCAAGAAAATTTTCTTTCACCACATTTCCAATACCAAACACAATATCAAACACAATCTCAAAACCCACAACCTTTTCCTAATCCAAATCCCACAACCTTTTCCTAATCCAAATCCCAATAAACTTTCAGCACCAAATTCTGATTTTCATATTGACCAATTAGACGATTATGAGCCAACATAAAAAATTATGAGTACTAGTCAGTATTCGAAATTTGATCTTGGTTAATACCCAGACTTTGATCTTGGTCAATACTCGGATTTTGATGATGTTTCAGAAGAAGAAACATACCCTGCATGTAATGATTTTGATATTGGTTAATACCCGAATTTTGATGATGAAACAGCCGCTGTCGAGGAAGATGTTATTGATGATAATGAGGAGGAAGTTACGACTGTGAATAAACATGTTGAACATCCATTCTGTAATTCATATAACCCTGAAGAAGAAAAAGAAAAAGAAGAAGTCCCCGAAGAAAAGAAAAAAAAGAAAATGCCACGGGAGTATAACTAGAATATGACAGAATTACTTCAGATACCGGAATAAGAGTTGGTAAAGATAGCAGTTGATTTTTACAAAAAAGTTATTCGTATCAAGAAAGATGATTGTTTTGATACAAAGGAAGACTTGAATATAGCTTTGTATACGAAATGTGTGGAAGATGGCTATAAACTAAAAGTTAACAAATCAAGCAAAGATTGTTTCAAAACAAAGTGTATGATTGACAAAAACTGTACGTGGCGTATGATTGCAAAGAGGATAAAAGATTGCGAAATGTTTCAAGTTAGGACTTTTATTGATAAACATACATGTTCAAGAACCCAAGTTTTTCCTCACCATAGATAGGCAAACAAAAAGGTGTTGGGTGCTTTTCTGGCTGAGTTAATGTTTTTGAATGGAAGGGTATATCGGGGACATGAAATTATGACTGACATGAATGCTCGGTTCAAGATTAGTATCTCATATTCTCAAGCTTGGAGAGCCAAATGTTATGCCTTGAAATTGTTGAGGGGGTCGCCAGAAGCATCGTTTGCCCAACTGCCAGCTTATTGTCACAATTTAAAGCTGAAAAATCCTAGGTTGGTAACTCATATCAAAACAGATAGAGATGGATGCTTTGAGTTGTTGTTTATCGCCATTGGTGCTGCGGTTAGTAAATCATTATAATTTTGTTGACTCATTTTTGTTAGTTGCATGCATTTCACATTTAAATGATTATATTTCTTGTGTATATGATTTTGTAGATTCGTTCGTTTATTACTTGCATGCGCCCAGTTATTATAGTTGACGGAGCACATTTGAAAGGTCGATACCTTGGAGTAAACTTATTAGCAGTAGCCATGGATGCTAATAATGGGATACTACCAATAACTTACGGGGTTGGCAAATCTGAAACCTCTGATTCATGGGCATGGTTTATGGGGTATCTTAGGGATTGCATATGTCCTATTAGCAATCTGACAATCATATCTGATAGGGCAAACTTAATTGACAATGCTGTTAGAAGGTGTTTCCCAGATGCTTTTCATGGACTTTGTGGTGTTCATTTGTACGGAAATCTAAACTCAATCACAAATGGACATACTGGAAGGCTGTAAGAGCTTATCGGGAAGTGGATTTTAATAAGCATATAAATGGTTTAAGACGTGTTTTGCCTCAATGTGCTCAAACACTAGAAGATGTCGGGTTTAAAAGATGGTCAAGAGTACATCAACTTGGAGCAAGATATGGTTTCATGACGTCTAATAGTGCAAAATCAATCAACGCTCTAAGTCTTCATTCCCAGAAATTACCCATTACTATCTTAATGGAGCTTTTTCGAGCCTCTATTCAACAGTGATACTACAAGAAAAGAAACCATGCAGGTATTATTTCTTTAAATTCGTAGCTTATCATATTTAATATATATTTTACTAAGTATTATTTATTTAAATTTACAGGAACATTGGAACGTAGTGTTACACCATGGACTGAAAAAAAGATAACGAAACGTGTTGTGAAGTTAACGTCATGGAGAGTTGAACCATGTTCAAACACTTTGTTTGAAGTATTGGATAATAACTTAAATGGGCTTGTCGATCTAAATACAAAGACGTGTAGTTGTAAGAAATGACAAACATCTGGTTATCCGTGTGGCCATGTTATAAAAGTTGCTCTTCATCTAAACCAAGATGATTCAAGCGCATACACTATGGATTGCTACACTACAGAAGTATATCGACATACTTATGTCGAGATTGTCTACCCTATTCCATATCCTTCTGAGTAGGACATACCAGATGACTTACAAATAATTTTGCCACCAGTCATGGATAGCAGACTACATGGCCGACCAAAAAATCACGATCGTATACCGTCTAAGGGTGAAGATAAGAGGATATCGACATGTAGTCGGTGCAAGGAAAGTGGTCATACAAGGTTGACCTATGGATCACCAGTGCCATCACAATCATATTTTCCTCTACCAAAATATGGATCCTCATCAAAATCCAAAGCTCATATGGTGCCAAGCAAAAGGAAATCAAAATCGCAATCAAAATCAAAATCTCAATCATAACCGGCTTCACCTTTTAAGACTTATTAACTTAGGTGATTTTTAAATGCAACGTTGTATTATGT